ACTATTATTTGTATTCAAAATACACTGAATTTTGTTTATTATTTCACACAAATTCTTCATTGCATTTAATTTACACTTCATATCAATTATAGTTTCACTCATTTTTAACACAAATTTAATGATAAATTTTACAAAAACTTTAAAAATTCGATAAAAATTGTTAGAATATTGAATGAGTTTTAACAATAAATTTAAATAATAAGATGTGTTTTGTTTGACACCAACTCTGGAAATGTTGTTTCAAATACTGTATTATTTGCAAAAATAGTTGTGCTCTCATTGAGAGCCTCTCAATGTGTTGTCCATATGTTTTAAATGAAACTCAATTATTAGGTACCAAAGGTTTATTTTCCAAACCAATAAAACCTAAATGAAAACATTATCTAAAATAGTTGTGTGTTTTGTCTATATTATGAGTCTATAGTACAGTACGAAACGATTGGTTCCTTCAAAACTAATATAAATCTAATTGAAAACATTTTGACATCTTTTAACTCTAAAAACAGATTTAAACACGTTTTATAATTTTTGTTTAACGAATGAAATATCAAATTTTATATTAAATCATAAATGTCAGAGTGACCTATAAAACACATTCTTTATAAATAAATTGTGGTTAAAAATATAAGTTTTTCCATGATAAATTAATTAAACAAATTCACATGGTTGTTTTTATTTTTAATTATGTTACTGTCTTTAAAATATTAGTGATAATTCTAATCAAGGTCTTTAAACGATAGGAAAATTTTTCAATAAATAATAATTCGCTTATCATTGAACTAGTCGTTTGTCTAACGTTTTAATTGCATAATCATTATGTAATACATGGCGTGTGAATTATTTACAGTATTTAAAGCGAGTGTGCTAGTTCACATAATTGTCAATCAACATTTCTCATTTGTTTATGTGTTATTTTAAGAAAATCATTATTTTGTAATATATTTAACTTAATACAAAATATGTATTTATATACATTTATTAGCATTTATATTCTTGGTGATATTTTAAGTACTATTACAACCATAATCATTAGCGTAATAGTGTATAGTATAGTCAAGTTTTATGCCCCAATCTTTACGCTGCCCGCCGGCCCCATACCGGTGCCATTCTTTGGCAATACTTTATGTAAGTAATCATTTAATGCCTACTTATAATTAGCAATGTTAAACTATTTAGTTAATTGCATAATCAAACAGTATTCCGGTGCGAACAGCACTGGGATGTAGTGATCAAAAACATGGCCCACAAATACGGCCCACTGTTCACCTTCTGGTTGGGACCGAAACCATTCATTTTCATTACTGACATCGAAAGGGGTCGTCGGGTGTACGGTATGAATGAGTTCGCCGGTCGGCCCGACTCCTACTTCGGCAGTCAGCTGTCAAACGATCGCTTTTCGGACGTTGTGTTCACCGATTACGGCCCCAAATGGGAGGCACTGAGACGGGTGGCCCACTCGGCCGTACAGTATGTGTTGTGTTGAGTGGTTTTGGTGCAAATGTTTTGCTAATTAATCATTTTGTTTGAATGAAAACAACAGAAAGTTTGCCACAAATGATAGACTAATATATTTGACGAGCGATTGTGTGGACAGAACTGTTAAACTGATGATAGAGAAGGAGGGCATTGGCAGTCCATTCTCG